GAGAGGATCGGGCAGAGCGGCGGCGAAGACGGGTGTTTCCGGAAGTCGGGCCGGGCCCCGCTCCAAGATGGCGGAGGTAACCTCGTCCTTTAGCGCCGGGCGCGCTAGGCCCGGATGAGCCCGGCCTCGAGTCGCGCCCGGCCCCCACCTCCCGGGGTCGCCTCCCTACCGCGGCCGCCTCTCCCCGTGCGGCCGGGCCGGGCCGGGCTGGCGGCGAGTGACAGCTGCCGCCCCGGTGATCCCTCGGCCCTGGGGATGCCTGGCGCGGCTTTGGCCGGTGCGGCCAGGGGGTCACGGGCCGGTTTGCCCGTCAGGCGCTCCCCACCGCCTCCCTGGGCCAGAGCGAGGCATCCCCTGCTCAGATTAGTTGCTTGTCATTAAGGCTGGGTCTTGCTGGCACGGAGCCAGGCCAGGGAGGTCGTGTGAAGTTACCTTGACTTTTAACAGGGGGAAGTTGAATCTTTCCTTCTCAAGGGGCAGGCGCTAGGGGAGGTGGCACAGGCAGCGCGATGGGGTTCACAGTCATTGCAGTGAGTCCACCTGTGGCTCCTGCATCAGATCATCCAGGCCCCGGGCAAATGCAGGGCACCACTCAGACTAGCACAGAAGCTGGTGAGGATCCGCTCAGTTCTCTCCACTTCGGGAACTGGGAACAGCTTGCGCTTAACAATCACGAGGCTGCATTTTAGAAATTTGCCCCCAAATAACGTGGAACTAATGTAAACCCATAGGCTACACAGACCAACAGGACTGCTTTATTTTGCACACATCCAAATGGACTGAGCTTAGAGGAGAGCTGTTTCAACGGTGTCCATACACAAGACAATATATTAGGACAGGGGGTGGCCAACTTGCGTCACGCATGCCAAAGGAAAGCTGCTGCGTGTAGCCTGTGGGTCCTGTGCACTTCCATTGTGCCCCAGGGTGCAAGCTATCAGATACCTCTTTCTAGGGGAGTGGTCAGAGAGGAACTTGAGGGGCATCGGGGCTTAGCTTGTGCACCTGCCAAAATAGGTTGGCTGCCTCTGTCTTGGAACTTACTTGTTTGAAGGAGGCCTGTCCTCGTGCAAGTAGACATTTGTTCTTTCTGCAAATTTTCTTTTAATCCTTATCTTTCAGTTTACATCAGACTAGCAGGATAAGAAAGACGGGATGGAGTCAGCAGATGCTGGGGCTAAAACAAAGAAAACCCTAGGAGCCGTTGATTATGTGGAGTCCTCAGGATTTGCCCAAGGAGCCCTGCCGACGCAGAAAGATGTCATTCAGAACATGTTGTACCTGTTACAGCCCAAAAGAGCTGGGCAAGCACAACGATCAAAGGAAGATGCAGCCCAATTGCTTGCTGAGCTTCTGCAGGAACACTGGTTATTTTGCAACTTGCACACCATAGCAACCAAAACCATAAAGAAAGTTATTCTCAAAATGTACGAGGAATTCACAAAACTGTATCAAACACGAAAGCAGAGGCAAAATCATGCATTTATGCAGAGGGCAGACAAATTCAACATGAGTTCAGAACAGCTGTTTGACATATTTTGTACAGATGCAGTGATAAGAAATAAGCTGGAGGAGTGCACTGGCATTAAGATGACTGCTACAGAGTGGAAGTTTCTTGAAGACCAAAGAAGTGAAAGAAAAATGTACTATGAGGATGTTGCAGACACGAATGAGTTGAAGGCAATGGAGAGGAGAAGAAAAGTACAATGCCTGGACCACTTCAGAAAGATGGCAAAAGATGAAAGAGCAGCGAGCGAATCAAAGGAAACTACTTATGGAAGTGATGTGCGGTCAGATGAAGGCACGAGTGTTGATGAATTGTATCCTGCTGAGGACGAAGAAGATGCTCCGCACTTTTCATTGCAGGGAAGGAGAAAGCGTCGATATGCAACACGGACTCTCAGCTCTACAACGTCAGCTAGTGGAACGATACCTCTGGAGTGCCAGCATATACGCATGAGCATCCGGAGAGTGAGGCCTGGGTTCTACGAGACTGTTGACAAAATTTAAAACTAACTGAACTAGATGATCTCTTGAGGTCCCTTCCAGCCTTACTTCTCTATGAACACTAGTGCACATTGATCTCAGGCTGAAGCTGCTGTAGCAGAAGTTGGCAATGCAATGTTTGGCTGATCTCAAAATCCTGTGATCAATTGGAGGTCATTGGTGTAGTTCAGAGGTATCCAGCCTGCAGGAGGGAGCTTTGAACCAATGGCACTGGCAGAAATTTTAAAAGATATGGATAAAGGAATAAGCATGAAGGCTCATAGATAGAGCATGATTTTCAGGTTATGGAGTCATACAGGCCTCTTCATCTAGGACCCCACCTACACTTAGCTGTTTGAGAAACTTCTCACTGTTATGTGACCGCTAGTGGTAGCAATGGTAGGCTGATGTTAGAACAGTAGCAGGGAAGCAATGCTATTGTTCAAGCTAATCTAGAGTGCTGGTGCTAAGGAGCCACACATCCTGTTTGGGTCAGTGGGAGTCAGCTGTGTTTGGCACCCTTTTAGAATTGGGCATTGTGGAAGTGGGTAGGGGAGGGAACTCATTGTTTGGCCTGGCTGGCCATTTTGGTGGCCAGCTTTGTGTTGTATTTGGGAAGACAGTGTTTCAAGAACTCTCAAGATCTTTGGGTGTAAGAGTAGTGATGACTGACTATTTATGGTTCTGCATATTGTAATCATGAAGTGACCCTGTTTGGGGAAAAGCCTTCTTGTGTTTTGATGGCTCTCTCAGTTATGTCTGCAACCTGAAATATGAAGCCTCTATAAAACACAGTTACCATATTTTATTGCATACCACACACCCTCAAGTAAGGTGCACACTTTATTTTGGGAAAGGCAAAATGAAGGGCCAAAAAAAAGCTTTTTTCCAGACTCATGGCTGCATTCTGGCCACAAGGAGTAGGAGCAAAGTCAGCCCATCAGCATGACTCATCCTCCCCCCTTCTTGCTCATTCAAAAGCTGGAGGTTTAACTGGCAGCAGCTTTTGCCTGCTCAGCCAGAAGGAGCTAGCTCTTAGCAGCCATTCCAGCATCCCTGTGCCTCTGTTTCAGAATGGAAATATTTCATTGCTTAAAACATGCACCTCAATTTTGAAGGGCTAATTTTTGGAAGGGAGGAAAAGTATGTGTGGTATGTTATTTAAATATGGTCTTTTATCTGTGCTGAAGGAAAAGAAGGTGGAGCAGAGGTGCATATTATGTTACTTGCTGTGGGACAAGATTGCTATGAATAGTTACTCCCTGTCTTCTTGGCATATAATTCCAAGTGTGTGTGTGTGTGTGTGTGTGTGTGTGTGTGGATCTAGGATGCCTGTAGTAGAAGAAGGGTCTGACTGCCAGAGACCTACTTGCTTTCTCAGCTTTTAAAAATTCATGCAGACCAGTAGGGAAGAAACAGTACTTTATCACAAGGATTTAATGAGAGAAACCATTACCTTATATATTCCTAATCAAAGGCACATACACACATCCTTACATATTGGTGGTACATGGGTAGCTGCCAGTTTTAGTTATAGTTACTTTATTATTTTTGAAGCTAGCAAGGTTAATCCACCCCCAAAACAGTTAATGCCAGTGTTGGATAGATCTTCAGTGTCCCTTCAAGGTATACCATACCAACTAAAAAACCCACAGACCTCTAATCACAGCCTTGCTTTATAAGTAGTAGTAAAAATCAAAAGCATATCTTGCTCTCAAATTCAGCTTTAAGCAAAAACATTGCTAGTCTCCATGCCAACATCTTGCATGACTCTTCTCTGCAAAATAAGTCTTAATTTATGCAAGTTATTTTTTAGTGCTTTGTTCTTTAACTTTTGTATGTGCATTGATTGTAGAACTAATAACTGACAGGTCATGTTACTGAATGACTTACCTGATAATAAGGACTAGCAGCAAAACTGGCTAATTCCCTTTGTCCTTGGGCTGCTTGGGAATTGGCAAATGAGTAGGTACTTAAATTAATAGTCATTATGTTGCATTTCATTTCATATGGAACAAAGAACTGATAGTACTGTCCTGAGGGAGGCAATGGCCTTGTCTCTTAGCTACATCCTTTTAAGGAAGAGAGTATAAATACAGTTACTTGAATCTATCTGACTCTCTGAATAATATACTTAGTTACTCAATCAACTTTCATGCCCAAAACTGGTGAGAACTTACCTTTGAGATTTTATTGATGGTGTACTGTTCCAGATCATTATTTGAGCTTGCTGCATGATGCATCTTTCTTTTTTTGCATCTCAAAGTTGAAAAGCAAGTTATGTTTAGTAACACGTACCACCTTTGCTTGAGAGTTCACAGCCCTGCCCAGTCCCCTCTGACTCTGTCCTTAAATTTAGTACCTCTGATGTGAGATACAAAGAAATGCACATTAGGCTGCTTTCATGCACAGTAACGAATGTGCATGGTTTTTAAATTATGCTTAATGCACAGTAGCCTATTTTACTGTGCATCAGTATAATTGCACAGTTTTTTACGTGGCACTTTAATGCACAGTAAAATGGGCTACTGAGCATGAAAATGCACATGTAGACATGCCTGCTAAGTCTTGTTT